GCGTTAGGATGGGTCAGGTTGCCACCAACTGGGAATGGTCACACAGGAGACAGGAGGACATGGTAATCCTCTCCTCACCGCTCCCAACCACATTTTATCCACTTTTCAGCTTTTCCTATTCCCTCTGCCTTACAGTAGTCATTTTCAAGGAAAATCTAGGAGAAGGCTTTGTACTGCACAGACTTGGGCTGGAAAATGCCTTCTGGCCATGTGGCTGAGGGAGAGGCAGACTTGAGAGCAGCTACAAGCCACAGAGATTGTCTCTTCATCTGCTCCACCACCACCCCTGCACAGCAGCTCTATCTCGACTATCTCTTATAAATGGCACTGCTAAAACAAAGATGTCCATCATCTCCCTAATACTCTCACTTCTCCGTGAGGTTATCTGTAAAAGTGCTCACATAGCGACTTTTCCAAATTGCTCTGGCAACCTAAGGAAAGATGAAATGCTGAATAGACCATGAGGAGGTGATTAGCTTCGTTAGACCAAGGCCAGGAGTCATCTCCCACAGGTTCATCAGAAATGTGTCTACTATGCAACATTCATGTAACAAGCCAGGTCCCATTTTTCGCTAGTGCTCTTACAGTGAGCATGTCAGTGGAAAGATCTGAGTGTTGCAGGAACTACAAACACAGGGGAGAAGGTCCAGCCACTGTTTTCACGCAGCCATTTTACACCTGTCCTTTGTTTGCCCTTCTCTCTTGCTTCTTGTGTTTCCTAAAACGTGCCAGGTAGGTCATCTCCATGACATAGTATTCACCACCTGTCCACTGGATTCCTTAACAGCACTGCTATTTGGAGAGCTTTGTTGGAGGTAAAACACGTGCATTCGAACTGAGGATCAGGAAGCTTTTGAACCCTTGAGTCTGATTACAGACACTACTACACAACAGAAATTTACACCAGGGTGAAGCCCAGGTACATGCTGCCCCCCGCATATCACCACTAGGTCCCAGCCCACCAGAAGAAACCTGGGAGTGGTATGGGCATGGTGGGACAACAGGACCCATGTGCCCTCATCTGTGCCCAGGCACGGTACAGGGAGCACTTGCTCTTTGGCTAAATGCAGCATAGGAGAGTCTTCGCTAATGCCTCACTGTCTACGTCCTCCAAATTAATTTCTTCACTGTGTGGGGAGCTCTAAAATCTTGAGAATGGTCTTTGTGCATCAGAGGACTTGGAAGGAAGCACTCATTTTCTCAGGGAGTGACGGAGTCCAGAGAGACTGGGAACAAGTGACACAATGGCTCGTTGCATGCAAAATACACCTGTATATCACAAGGGTCTTTCCAGAGGAGATTTGGATCATCTCCAAAGCCTGGAGTGCCATGAAAAACACTTGAAGTTCCAGTGTTGGAAACACCTGTTATACAAGGAACAGGTCTACAGGTCATAAAGAGTTTGGGGCATTTTGATTCTTACCTGGGATTTTCCCTTCAAAGGGTGGGTACCTGGAGCTGCTCTGCCCAGTTTGATTCTTGAGTGCCTGTGAAGGGAGTGCACATTTTAGTTTGGAGGGAATAAATAAGTAGTAGGTGTATATCACCCCTGCCCTGCACTATTAGCACTGGTGTACCCATTATAGTGTGCCAGATAGCAGCTTCATCAGCTTGTTAGGAAAAGAGTGTATGTTGGAAGAACCCCAGGAACTGGAGGAGGAGAACTGGAGGGCACTTTGATATTGATTGCTAAAAAGGTGGAAGGGCAATGGTATAAAAGGTAGGTAAGGTAAGTAGTTAGGGAGGGAAGGGGATGAATGGGAAAATGTTGGAACTGGATCCCAATTAGAGAGGTAATATGTTCAGATCTAGGGCACAAATGACTTTGTTAGCTGCATCGTCTGCAGCCTGGAAAACACAAAACATTTGCATTAGAAAACTCAAAGAAGCAGACTCAAGTGGGGTCATAAGTTTTGACCACTTTAGGTCCTGGAAAGTCCAACCGTGGTTAGACAATGAAGGAAACTTCTGAAAATTTGAAACTCCAAGCATGGTTAGAAAATGAGGGAAACCTCTGAAAATTTCACAGAGCTTCCTATGATGGAAAATATTGATGTTTTCACCTGACACCGAGAAAAATTCACTTTAGAGCAAAAGCTTGACTTATCTTGTCTGTACTGAGTGATGACGGTCTCTCTGCACTGGAAAGAGTAGCTCTTATCTTTCTGTGTACATACAACGGGAGAATACTTGGCGATTATTATTCACTAAAGCTCCCATACTAGGCAAAGCTGCAGACTGAGTCACTTTAACAGAAACCCACCCATTCCCAGGCCTACAGCAATTACTCACAAGCCAGCATTTAGATATGCAAATAACAACATATTGTAATCAGCAGCTTGTCCAATAATATGCCCTTTGTTTCATCAAAAAGGCGTATCAGTTCTGTACAGTTGGCAGTGAACATGCAAAGAGGAATTTGAAAAAGCAAGAACATCCAGAACAGCAGCCCCTGCCAGTCCGATTGCAGGCACCACTGATGTCAGACGATGCATCAGAAGCTTAGGGTGCTAATGACTTGTTGATGTGTTTGACATTATGCAGCTATTCCTTAGCAGATATTTTCACGGTAGGTATTGTTTTTATAGATGTTGCCATTTTACTCATGAGCTGGAAGGTTCAAGAGAAATTTTTGAAAAGAAGATGAAAGCTTGAGGGGACAGGGACAATGGGAGAGAGAAAGCTTGTCTGAACCTTCACATACACATGGAATATCTTGTCCTTAGTAATAAGCCTGTTACAGTATCGGGAATATAGGGCATCTGAATTCATCTGCTCAGCTGCAGTCATTTGCTTACATTCATATACACATACATGCATATAATCAGCTGTGGTCCTTGAACAGAAGTTAAAACATGCAAAAAAATGGAGAGAACTTGAGGTAATGGATCTAACTAAATTATCATCTTGAAATAATCCAGCTAGTTTATCTTCTTTGTTTTTGTGTCTGTCTTTCTTTTGGAGATTTGCAAGACAATTTTTAGAACCTAATTAACTTTTTGCATGAAGATGCACTCCTTTCATTTTGGAGAATTAATCACATTTAATCTGCAGACACCTAGCCATTATAGCAAATTTGTCTGTCCACTATGACAGATAGATTATGAGAGAATAAATGGAAAGTGACATTCACATTAGCCAGAGTGTGTTTTTGGCTGCCATCGACTGGCTTTTCGAGTTACTATGACTTTAACACATCATCGCTTTTTCATTACAACAACCTGATTGAGTAGGTTAGGTCACCAAGTGGCTTCTCCAAGCATTTATTATGACAGTAATGTTGTTTGTGTTATCAAAACCCTTCTGAGTGAATTATTTTCTTAAACATAGGGTATCCTGCTGTTAACTAGAGACTAGCTGTACAGAGGAGTTTGGGATTCAAAGCTCTTCAGGCGTGCAGGAGTGCAGATCCAATTGCAAACAGGGGAGAAGAAGCTTCCTGATAATGAAATTTGGGCTGAGTATCCACAGCAGCTTGTGCCAGTAGTGAAGGTGCTGGAAAAGAGGACATTCTTACACAGGGCTTTGCATAAACCAAAAATGTGTGTACCTACATGAGAAGGCAACCAAGCAAAAATACCAATGCAGTGAACTATGTCTAAGAAAAAGCAGAAAAAAAAAAGAATGAGTTCATTCGTTCTACATAAAATGATTAGAGTATGGAAAATATTTTCTTAACTATGCCAAAGAAAGAGAGATATAGTAGTTGTACTTTGCACTTCACCAGAAGTGTGATCAGTACTTTGTAAAATACGTGCAAAAAGCAGGGCTGCTTAGGAGAGCATGCAGTCTAGGGTGATTTATATCAGCTAAATAAAGGTAATTAAAGATATAAAGGACTGAAGCAGTAAAAACAGGACTGAGCTATTTAACCGAGTGTGACAGCTTTGCATGACTGATTATTCATGAACTACTCCTAGGTAGTTAAGAAACATAAAATGTGATTCATAACCTCTAGAAAGAAAACAAGCTACTTATTAAGAAACCTAATTTTATGATGCTCCTAAATCTACTGTAAATATTTGAATTCCTTTCTAAAAACTTTCTGAAAAACATGAATAAATACATCCATTCACATAATGCACAGGTATCTGCATACATTTATTTCACAACTGGTAATTAAAAAAATAGGCACTTCTGTATGCAGTATAAATGCATTAAATGCATACTCCAAAAGCATTAAACAATTAGTTAACATTTCTACCGGATTGTTACCATGCATTTTTATGGAGATCAGCACTATCAGCTAAGGAATGCTAAATTAACAGGCCTTTAAAAAAGAGAAATGATCCACAAAACTGTCCTCTGATCAGACCCAAAGCTCCTCTTCCCAGGTATGTAATTGAGTAGTACACTAAATGGTGACTGTAGAGTGTATTAACAACTCTTCATTAACTCTTCGCATGCAGTAAATTGCACCTCATTTACTCCATCGGTTAGCTACTGACTGCAGTGCAAGTGTATACATGCAGGGGGTTAATGTGAGAGCCACTACAGCACAGTGAATTACTAGGTCATTGCCTAGCACCTAGGAAATCCCTAATTGCAACTCACCATTCAGTAATGAACCAAATACATATAATTCTGCAAAACAATCTGCTAATGAAAAAAAGCACAAAGCAATTCTTGTTTATTCATGGAGGTATCACAGCGGGAAGAGAGATAAGTGCTTATTTCCATAAGAGTTTTTTGTTTGTTTGTTTGTAAAATCTTTCCCTTTATTAAATTTCCCCTGCCTGGACCAAGTGTGAGTATTTCTCATATTTTTTTTGCATTGATGAGGTAAAATGTATTAATATATATAATTATAAAAAGTCGTGTAATTATGAGCATGCTCTGTTATGAGCCATCTTTAAAGTAAACATAAAACAAACACCAAGGAATTACTAGTAAAGGTAATTACCATAAAGTAATGTTGCTGGACTATCGAACGCTGTAATTGGATATTGCTACAATTGCCAGTGCATTTGTAGTTGAGCTACTCATGTATTATGTGTAAGCAATTTTCCTGGAATGTCTGTCTGAATCAGACACTGAATTTCACAGACCAGCATAAACACAGGTATTCTAGTTTTTCTTTCGGGATCAATTCACAGCACAACCTCTGCAGGATCTGTTTTGGAATTCCTGCATCATAGTAAGTTCTTCTCTCATTCTGTTACTTACATTTTATTGAAGAAGAAAAAGATATTTTATTTTGTGCAAACACAAAAAAACACCACCAGCAATAACAAACTTTAACCTCCTTCAGACTGACTTCTAAAATTATTTCCCTTTTTAAATTATTTTTCCTTTTTTTATTTTTTTAGTATTTGACAATTAACTTTTAGTTATATTTCTGACATTGCTAGATTTGTTTAGTTTTGCTTGCAAATACAAAGCTGCCTGGAACAAATCAAAACTTATATTTAAAAATCCTTTATGTAATATGAACGTAGAAGCTACTTCTTAAAATGCAGCGTATCTTCATGTGGTTGCTCCTGTGTTTGTCTGAGCTGTCATCCTGCTTTTCTTTGCCACTGATTAACAGCTGCAGTTAAAGGAAAAGGACAGATTTAGCAAGTAACCTGCAACAGGATGTTCAGCTTCCTCTCCTTTCACTGGTTTTCTTTCTCTTACTACAGTTTAGGGATAAATAGGTACTGAAGTAATAATAAAGGCATATGTTTACATTTTCCTCCTGGAAATTGTTGTAGAATTTAACAGTTACCCTTTCTGTAAAAACTTCAGAAATCTAGGACTCTATAGCAATGCCATTCTCCTAAATTCAGCAGGATGGATTACGACACCTTACCAAAAAAAAAAAAAAAAAAAAAGCCAAACTTAGCTCCAGAAAAACATATGTAGTTATGCAAAAGGTATAATAATGATATGCTCATCGCATTTAGATATGGAAGATAGCCATGGAGGTTTTCTAAGCTACCTTTCTATTACTGAAGGCTTGAAATGGCTGGAGACTAATATAAGCAAATGCCAGAGCTGGTAACCCTGTGTGGTATCTGTTACTCGGACAACTGAACTTCCCATTTACTGAGCACCTGTTCTGAATTATTTTCCAGACCTGCTTTGTTTCAAGAAGCCTTTGTAATAGCAGAACAATTAGCCTCAGTGTTTTCATACTGCAACATTGTCAGCCCAAGAGAGGAAGATACACAATGCAAATGATGACCTGAGGACTCGAGAATTTAATAAGCAAAAACACCACATGCAAACTCTGGTGGGTAGAGATTCCTCTAATATGCATGAGTGTTGGTTTTAGACTGAGATGGAGTGATCTTGCTAAAATAAATCGTTGCGTAATGGCGGAGCATCCCTCCCTTACCTGTCGGACTCGGATGGCCCGGCTCTGGGCTGGCCTGTGCCGTGTCCGCCCGCCGCTCTGACCCTGCAGCTATGGACATGCAGAAACACCCTGGAAGAAAGCCAGCGCTCTGGTTTTTAGCCAGAATCAAAGCATGCGTCTGTATGACACAAGCATTTGTGCTGCACGATAATGGTGTTTGTGGCATCTAATAAACTCATTGTCTGGTTCATGCAGGTATTCGTTGTTGTTGTTATGGTTAATGGGAGTACCAACTGCCACTCTCTGTAGAGACCAGGCTTTCTGGAAAATAAATATGTAACAGTTAAAAGGCAAACTCCATCTCAAAGAGTTTACACAGGAAATATTATTTCGAACTTGATTTAGCTGCAGCTGAGGGGTCATGAACTACTGCCACGTTCGAAGGCACGATAACATGAACCAAAAGCAAAGCAGCCATTCATACAGGTTTATCAGCCTGTATGTACCTTGGGGAGTGTCAGGAGCTGATCCTCTGCCTTTCTGCTGCCCCCATCGCAGGGCAACAACCCCCAGCAGACAGGTGTGGCTGCCGGCTGTGCAGCTAATCTCTCGGATCAGCCCAGCGTGAATGGGTAGAGCCCATGAATCAGAGTCCAAAGGGTGGGTGTGCGAGCACGATCTCCCTGCTACCCAGAGTAGTGGAGGCGTCGCTCCTGCAAGCAGGACTATTTCACCCGCCTGGGCAGAGCACAGGGGCCTCCTTGGCCAGGAAATGTGAGGAGCAGCTTAAATTTGGCGCCGCTGGGGCGGGAAGGAGATTTGCACATTGCAGCTTCAGCCCCAGCCGCACGCAGGCTGCTGTGGGGAGCGGCCGGTCCCAAAACACGTCCAGGAACCACTGGGGAGCACGGTAAAAAGTGTGCTAAGAAGGCTGAGGGAGCGTCATGGCTCAACCAACTGAGTGAGGAGAGTTTCTTCACTCTGCTTCATTAAACTGTTCAGATATAGCCACCGAGGCCACCAAACATGCATTTAGTTGGCATCAGAGGTTCCCAGAGTGACTTGAGACCAAGTGCATGACTCTGCTGGCCACATCCATCTGTGGCCGTGACTCCCTTCACTGCAGCCACAAATTACAGGAGGTTGGTCTGGTGAGAGGAACCTTCGTGCTTCTTTGGGATGCCCCAAATTCTTGAGACTTTGCTGAAACTATCCACTGAGAGAGAGACGGTCGTTTGTAAAATTTTTTGTTATTCTCTCCTCTAGCCCTCTAGCCCCAGTTATATGTGTTTTCTGAAGGGCTTCTTTTTTTTTTTTTTCTTTTTTTTTTCTTTTTTTTTTTCAGTAGTGTCTTGCTTCAGCTTGAAATTCAAACTGAAAAAAAAAATGCTTCTAGAAACAGATGAATATGTAATTCTTAACTGGGTAAAGAAAGAGGGTCTTTTTCCCCATAATTAACTTGCCAAAATTCATTTTGCAGCAAAATTATCCTTCCTTCAATCCTGCCTTCCCTTCTTTCATCAAACTTACGCTGAAATAACACTCTTAATCCCCAAGAAGCATCAATATTTTTGCTGCAGAACATTGCACAACTTGTGGTATGGACTAATGCCATGCATTAGCCGTGAAGCAAGGTTTGACGTAGCTAGAGAACATCAAGTACAATACCACATTTTATCAAAACCAAACAGCAGAACAATGCACACAAGGCTCTCGCAAATACACCAGACCCATCAGATTTCCACTTGATAAAGTCAGTACAGAGAAGAAATATCGGGTACACTCTGTCTTCATTAATGCAGGAGTAGGCCCGGCAGCTCTACTCTTCCTCTACACTGTGCCCTTAAGCCAGCAGACCTCGGGACGAGCCTTTTGGGCTGAAATAAACCACAATGAGTTGTGCTTTTTTCACGTGTCCCAGAAGGGACTTGGCCTGCTTCTCCCCAGAGTATTTCCCAGAGGTGCGTTAACCTCAGCAGATCTCCTCTGAGACCTGCAGCAGAGGCCCTGCCCTGTCCTAAGCCCTGCCCAGGGCTCTCAGGAGGACTGACAGGGACGATTCCCTCAGGGACACAAGATGTGACCAGAGGGACCAGTGTGTCTGCCAGCGAGCCAGGCAGCACCGTGCAGACGTATGTGCGCGAGCCCAACCACCCAGCACAGCACCTCTCAGAGCAGTGAGCCACCTAACGATGTCAGAGGCAAGCCCTGCTAATTAGGGGGCCGCAGCAACCCTAGCTGGCTTGTGTGACGCCACCTGGGATGAGTTTTCCAGCCATGCATCAGAGGGACGGGGCTGGTTTTGGGGCCAGACTGTCTCTGTGGGGTTTGGGCTGTGCTGCCCGGGCCCTGTCAGCGCAGCTGGTGCTCTGGGGCAGGCTTGCAGGGAGGAGGGATGCAGAGGAAAGGCCAAATATCGCAGGTTATATGATCGGCACCTTCACCAGAAAACAACCCAAGCTCAGCTGCTGTGCTAGGCAGATCCTGGTTGGAAAAGCTAAGAGAGCAAAGCTCCAACGTGGAGATGAATGAGGAAGCACACACTGCTGCAACTCATGCTATGACTTGTTTACAGTAGAGCCAAGGTTTTGCTTAGTTCAGTAAGTATCCTAGTTCAGACACCAGTCCAAACCTCCTTTAATGAGACACTTGGAAATCTTGCAAAAAGAGCCTTCCCGTGCTCCTGACTGTTGGGAAGTTTGCAAGTTACACTGCAGGAGAGATTTTCCCTACCTTGTTTTCTCTTTCAGTCGCAGCCGAAGCCAGATAACACACAAGGTGAGTGAAAATATTTTTAAAAGGAAGAGTTTCTAAACCTTTCTTGCATTTGTTGTGGGCAAAGACCCAGTCTCTCTGAACTGGTTTGTTCAAGGCATTAACAAAAATGATTTATATTCTCCAGACTGTTTTAAAAGGCAAGTAATGGACATTCTGTTATTTCATAGAAGAATAAATGCACTAAGACCAGAGGTTGGTCTGATTTATGGTTGAGCTGTCAGGTATATGTTATGGCTTGAATTTACATTAAACCATTGTGACTTACAGTAAATTAAATAGAGACCATAAATGGAAAATGTTTAAAAGGCCATTACATAACTGAATAAATGGGCTGAACATGTTGTCTGCATGCCTCTCCCACACCCTGATTAGCGGAGGATGATGGCTTCATCTGAGATTGAATCTGAGCTGTTGCCGCTATACATATTGCCAGGCTACAGCAAATATTACAAATCACATATAATTATTTTTAAGGAACAGTGAAGGAAAACAAATACAATCAGATAAACCGACTCCTTTTGCAACTTCACCATCTCCTTGTTGAGGTTGCTCTAGCATCACACATGTAACATAAAGAGACAGGAAAATGAGAAATATAAATAAAATGATATATTTACATACAGAAATTAGAGGACTAAGGGGATGGACAAAGTTTTACCGCCCAGGTGACTGGGTCAGCACCCACACTTCAAGATAAGCCCAGGTTAAGGCACCAACAGAGCAGCCAACATCATGCAGTTCGTGCAGAGGGAAACACGCTTCATTGCACAGCAAGCGTGCAGGATCGCAGTATGAGGGGTCAGGAAGGCAAAGCTGCCGGTTATGCCTCCTGCACAGAGCAGTGCCCCTCCACTCTTAACAGCATGTGCAGTTGCAGCCTGTAAACAAAGGGAAACAAAGTCACCTCAGAAAAAAATTCCAGCTATTTCTGGCTGCCCCATTCAAACATAACCATAGCTCTGCATTGCCAAACAAGCTCCAGGAAACAGGGACGTGCTCCTCTCACCTACAGTAATTCTGCAGAAAATGCCATGGTACTGAAAAGTCCCCGGCCTCCACTTGCTGGTCACTTGGGTTTTTGTTCAGAGGTGTCCAAAAGGCCAGGGAGATACACTGAGCAGCTGCCCAGTGTGCTGCACTCTCTTTGCAAAATCCTTCCTCCTGACACTTAAAAATAGTGATTTGGTGACATTTTCTTCTTATTTCTTATTTCACTCAAATGCTTGATGACCTGCATTTATTTATAAAAATCTTACACTGCTAGTTTTAAACAGCTCCTAAAATTCACTCATCTGCCAGGTTTTCTGTTTAGGCTATGTTCATCCATACGATGAACAGAAAAAAAAAAAAAAAAAAAAAAAAAAAACCACACAAAACAGATCAACAGAAATGAGCCATGGGAGTGCCCTATCCCTACCAAGCACTGTGGCACTCCCCAAATCACCCTGAATGGCCTCTGTTCTCCCATGCAAAGATGTTACTGGTAATGGGCAGCCCAAAAGCTTAGAAAACAGAAAAAAGAAAAAAAAAAAAAAAGAAAAAAAATAAAAGGTTTCAGTCATTGGACAGAGCAGGGGAAATCCACAGAAGTTCCCCTCCTAGGTTCAGCCAGGGGATCTGAGCTGCAAGGGAGGAAAAATACCATGTGAGGAGGAGGTTGTCCAGCTCAGAGGAACTGCTGAGTATCGTGGCCATCCCAGAGCACGTCCCTGCTTTGCCACACACTCTGTATGGCCTGGAGCAAACCAACATCCAGGCTGGGCAGCTCTGCTCTCTGTAATATACAAGTAATTGATGTTCTCCACCGCTCAAGACTTGACGGGTGATCAATGCTAGGATGGCTGTGGGATGCTCAGATCCCAAAATTAGGGCTCCTTTTGTCGGGTTTTGTTTTAAGTTCAACTATCAAAGCATGCCGCCTGACATTTCTGTGCACCACTTCTTGTCAGCTACTGGGAAGGGCTTAACATTTGTGCATCACTTGTGATGACTGATTCGTCATGTGTTGCTACAATTTAGTTTTACGACAGCAAGGTAAATTGTTTATCAGTCCATAAGTCAATAAATATTAATCTAAAACACTTCATATGAATGCAAATAACTGTTTATGAAGATTTATCCTATAATCAACTCGAAATGCTTCCTAATTATTTTTACTGACATCTTTATTTCATCAACAATTCAACTGAAATCCATGCTGAAAAGTTAAGTTACCCAACATCTTAGATTTCAGGTGACTTTTCTGTGAGTGAAAGTGAAAACCCTAGTATGGAAAAGTTTCCAGTTTCTGTGCCACAGTAAATTTGCAAAACTCTCAAAACTCAGCTGAACAATTTGGTATGACAAGAACCAATCCTATTAGTTCATGGTTAACAAATTGCCCAAGCCCTCTTTCCAGAGAATCAAGATCAAAATGTGTTTTTCTTACAAATTGAAAAACTTGGGTGTGTTGGATAGCTGAGCTGTGAGTAA